AGTAACCTATTGATTGTAGACGTCATTCCACCATTGTGTTAATTATACCTAGACGACCAAGGAGCCTGGACATGGGTTACACACTACAAGTGTCCGTGGTCATGTGGGCTCCATTCTGAGAGGGGCGGTGGGGTAGCCTAGTGGTTAAAGCGTTGGCTCGTCACGCCGAAGACCCGGGTTCGAATCCCCACATGGGCACAATGTGTGAAGCCCATTTCTGGTGTCCCCCGCCGTGATGTTGCTGGAATATTGCTAAAAGCGGCGTAAAACCAGACTCAGTCAGTCAGTCCATTCTGAGAAAGCCGTGTTATGCGGGACTTCCCTGTGAAGAATGTGGTCAGAAGATATAGGGGGTGTATTTTGCTTGTCAGAATGTTCTGAGTAGCGGGAGAAGTATAACCGTCCGCATGCAATGCATGGTGAAGTGTACGAATGAGTTGCGGGTGCCGTCCACACCCAATGATACCCTATTTACCGTAGAAAGGCCGTTGTAGTGTCAGCCGAGGTCGTCTGGGAGCATATGCGTCGCAAAATAGATTTTGACATGCTTATGGAAAATATTGTCTTTTCATTATCAGATTGGATGACAAGTTTTGCAGTTATTGATGGAAGACGCGTGGACCACCGATAACCCAGCATCCATTCGATACGTTAACTAGAATCATTCTATATGACCAGGTTGCCGAACATATTTTCTCAAAATGGTATGTGTTTTCTTCTTAACAAATTATGAGCTATTTAAAAATATCTTAACAGACAAGTAAACTGAGAAAGGTTTTCTTCATTCGCCGTGGACACTATTTATATGTTATTAATCCAAAACGGATCACTTTTCGCTTACATTTTCTCAATACCTTTCGTGGTGATTTTTTTTAGCAAAACACAATTTACAATGTACGGATAGTGTCGTAAATGATGAAAAGTGAATGGAATTGTAAACTCGTTAAAGGATGAGGACAGTTTGATACGAGCAGATGTTCATACATTGTGCAACTAATACTAGCATGCATATTTTGTACAGTAGGTTCTTTGTGGATACTATATGAGAGCATTAGCTTCCTGGGCCTGACATATGGTGTAATACGGTTATGTTATTCAAGAAGTATAAATCTGTAGATATTAAGATCCTTGTACGTATAATCGAAAACCCGGGTTCGATTCCACACATGGGTACAATGTGTGAAGCCCATTTTTGGTTTCACCGCCGTGAAATTGCTGGAATATTGCTAAAAATTGCGTGAAACTAAACACTTGTCACGAAAGATGTAATGGTAGCATTACTGCTACATTACCGGGCTAACATACCAAGCCAACGGGGTATTCAACTTTGATAAGTGTATACCTACATGGCTACGTTTTAAGCCTGTGATGTTGATTTGATCGCCCAATCGGTGAAAACCTCGAGTCTTTCAGGAATAACTGTTGATGAATTGTTTTGAATAGAAAAATTAAATATTTCTCAGGTTTTTCCCCCAAAACACATTCGCTTGATATTCTGAAAATAGTTTGTTTTGAGTCACTCGAAAGATTTGACTAAAAGAGATGTATGTTCTGAAGTAAGTAATAGTAATAATGAGTATTTATAATACGCTGTATCCATCCACAAGGTGCGTGCTCGAAGCGCATAATATGAGAGAAAATACACACGTAATGAAATAATAGTATGAAATAAAACCTTTGAATGATAGCCTGAAATAAAGCCTATGAGTAATAGCAGGAGAAAATGTCTATGAATTTAAGTCCATGAATAATAGGGTGAAATAAGTCTAATTGTATGAATAATAGCCTGGAAATAGTTGCGTCTTGGGTTTTGATTTGAATGCATTTAATGATGATGAAAGTTTGATGTCCAGAGGAAGTTGTTCCATAGTTAGGAGCTGCGTAACTAAAGGACTTCTATCCATAGTTATTATTAAGTGTTAATAGCTATTCATGTGTGAATTTCACGACAGCGTCCCCGAGACCCCAGTTCTGCAATACTACTTATAACGTATGTCAGTGTATAAGCGTATACTTAATATAGACACCTGTTCATACAGCGGGTTTTAGTTCTACATTTCCTTGCGAACACGTCTGTCTGAAACAGTTAGAGGCGTTTTCAATAACTCTAAAATTGTAATATTTAAAGAGCATACGATTCTCAGCAAAGTAACATGGCGTGATAGATAAAATCAGAGTTAAACCTCTCTCATGAGAAACATTCACAGTGTTCTTAACACTAGGGCACAGGAAGTACCCGGGCTAAGTGCAGGACGAGATCTACAACGCTCTGATCGACTGGATTTCAAATAATCTGCAGATGCTCCCAATTACCATTACGAAATGGAAGATTAACATGCCTCTTAGAAAACTCCTAGAAATGCATGTTGCAAATTAAATCCGAGAAACGGAATTGGTCCGTAATCACTTCATCCATAGAAAGCTCGATATGTTAACTCAAGTTCTTGATTCTAAATACAGACACAGGTGTGAATTTCGTATACAATTCCTGTTTTTTAATCTAGAGGGACAAAGGATGTGCACTTACATTTTTTCTTGCGAAATCAAAAAAATTAGTAAGATTGGAAAACCTGGCATATTCTCACAAAGTAGATTAACGTGGACCGTGGTTTATTGAGAGACTACAGATTTTCTGACACTTCACAGAAATCATATTTTGCCATCATAATAATTAAAAGTTTGATCAACCCACTATGGGGTAATAGGCCGTGTTGTGTAGAATTTGGCGTATACACCGACTAGCGACAGCCTGATGACAATCGTAATTCCTTATAGCTCCCTGATTAACAGCATGGAAACACCTGTTCGGATTTAGGTACTGTTGGAAAAGGGTATATATATATGTACACAATAAACCCAAAATTCCTCACCAAACCTGAGCGAATGTTAAGTCATAAAATCATACGGCAATGAGTATATTGTGATTATCTTGGCAAAGTGATTCCGCGTCAGATATCCTATGACCATTCTGCAGCTGAAACTACGACAAATGTGACGTGCTGTTGAGGCCCTGTTGTGCCCTTTGCTCGCCCTGTGACTCGTTGGTTACAGTTTATCCCAAAAGCTTTAAACACTGTATGTTGAGTGTTGATCCTGGTTGAGGTCTTGTTTATACTTCGAATCAAGGCCTGAAAAGTCAGCTTATTTCGTTTTACGATTGTACAGTGGCACACTTCACCACCCCAGGTACCACCCACCCTAGTGCCATCCGCTGCAGTACCCTCACCGTGGTACCATTTCCCCCGTACCATTCAATTACCACCCATTCAGTTCCATGCACCTCAGTATCACCCGCTCACATACAGACTGCCGAAGCACCATCTGGATTCAACTGAATTTAAGTTGAAGTCCCTGGTATACATCACCCTACATCTTTGTTTTGTTGGTATGCTATGACTGTTTAATAACAGAAAACAACTATATACTAATAGCACTCGTTCAGTCACCTATCGTGTGGTAATTAATGTCACTGTATTTCTAAGGTATTTTAAAGTTTCATTCGGCATGAGTTAGCATACCAAACTGAAAGGGCAACTTGTGGGGACCAGTAGTTCGCCTACGTCATAAAGTGTGTAAAATGAGAAAAGCCTTACGTACAACAGGACGTTTCTTCCTTTGTTGTAACCTATGTGTATGGGTCTGATGCTAAAACACCAAAATACCGAATCAAAACGAACAAGCGATCATAGGTTTATATCTGTCCTAAGGGACACTACTATGCACAGCGAATTCCAGTGCCTTAGATGACTGGATTCCCCTGGAAATATTTACTTGACTGTTTTGCCGAACTTGGTAATGTGATGGAGATTGACATGACCTGGCGACCTCCAGTCATGATCTGACTTCTTGTAATGAACACTCCTTTGGTGTGGTTTGTCTGAACACGTTTGGTTGTTTCCAAGGATATACCGTTACAGTTTGATCAATAACAAACTGTAATTAAATTCATCAAGGAACCTCAACCTTCAGATATTACAGTTCATCTACACTAACTTAAACAGTAGTGCCAGTCACCCATTAAAGTGTTTTACCATTCGGGTTTTCGTGTACGATAAAACCTTATCAAAAATGTATTAAGATAAAAAACGAACTTTGCTCGATCTCAGTTCAAGAAAATTCGAGTTACTTTCATGTTATCGATCGTGGGCCCCACAGGCACGCGTTGCGTGCCTTTACGTAATCCAGACCATTTTGTTTTCATGCTAAAATGCCTCTCTCAGAATTCGACAAATTGTGTCTCCATGCTTACATACCTCTTTCAGAATTGGTTAGATTGTGTGTTCATGCTAATTCACGTCTATCGGTGATGTTGTTCAAAACTGCAGTTCCAGGCGTAATCAGACAGTGCGTTTATTGATAAACTATTGGTTACAAACCTAATTCAGTAGGCAAGGCTACAATGTGTGACACTGAGATGAGCTAGACTGTAAAAAGTGGTGAGTGAGTGGGTATGGTTTTACGCCGCTTCATAAAACATTCTCAGTCTTGTCTTTGTTCATTTCTTAAATTATGCACATTCTGTTGTTGTGTTTGCACCATAACAAGACATACCACGAACATGTCCTCACGTAAACACATTGTACAAAATAGGACAAAATACCATGAACATGTCCTCACGTAAACACATTGTACAAAATAGGACAAAATACACACATGTTATCTCGGTTAAAGACAGAGCGTGTCCTAATTGTAGCAAACGTTTCTCAGATCAATAAGACAATATCGTAGGTTACATAGACTCCGGTGCCCAGTAAACAGATGTAGAAATGATTCGTGGCATTACCAAGCTATTAAACCAGGCTAACTCCGTCTGGAAACCCTTTAGGTCGGAGCTTGATTAACAATGATCCATTATCATCTCAGGTGCTTTGCCATAATGCTAGCAGGACATTTATTTATGCATTCTTTCAACCCCGTTTTCTTGTAGAGGTTTTCCTACGGTAATCTCATCCAAATAGCCACAAATGTTGTTTAAAGAGCAAGCTATCAGATGTCCTATATGTCGGACGCCAAAGCCAATAACTTGGCTTGGGACGTTTTCAGTACAATGACTCCCGACGCAAAACATAACCCCCGATCAATCCTGGATAACATTGGAGAGTCCTAAGTGATCGGGTCTTTTATCAATACATTGATTTCCGATGAAGCTACGTTGCTTCGGACGTCGTCGTGATTTACACTGTTGTTCTCCGAGCGCGCAGTTTGTGCGTCAAGATGGAGTCGACCTGGGACAGTGATACCGATGTTCCGAATGCAGAGGACAGAATGGTAAGTTCCGAGTGTTTTCCGCTGTCTCTGTTTCCCAGCTCACAATAGTGCTGGCTTATAACGTAACATTGTCGGTGTTACTCTTGACTAGCGGCTGGTGTAGCGTTCACTTCACGCGACATGTGCGAATACACTTTGCTTAGGCTTAAGGGGAATAAGGAGGAATAAGCGTTTAACGTATAATGAGCAGAAAATGTCACACTCTACGTATTTTCTATGGCTGAGGAAACGCAGGACTAGCGAGCCAGAAGAGACAGGATGGATTGTTTTAATATTATAAAGGAGCACTTAAATGGGAAATTTGTCCCCTCTCTGCAGTCTAGGTACGGAAATCCGGGACATGTTTGTCACATTGCGTGGATTTGTAAGGTAAAGTGGTTGCACTAAAATACATGTTTCTTTATTGCACATGACAGTTAAGACTGACTCTTCCTTCATTATTCCTGACATATTTGGTCGTATATTCCTCTATATCTCCCGACAGTGGAGGCCCTATACATGTATATTCCACTATATGTCCGGACAGTGCAGGTCGAATATTCCTCTATATCTCCTGACAATGCTGGTTATATCTTTTCTTTCATTCTGGAGAATTCGTTGTTCAGCCTTATGGCTTGGCAGCTTCCATTTTTGTATGTTACCTGACAGCGTGGGGCTGATATTCCAGCACATCACTTGACAGTTTATATTCTTTTATGGTAACTGACAACGCATGTCTTATATTCCTCTATATCGCCTGACAGTTTATGTTTTTGTATTGTACCTGACAATGCATGTCTTATATTCCTCTATATCGCCTGACAGTTTGTATTCTTCTATGGTACCTGACAATGCATGTCTTATATTCCTCTATATCGCCTGACAGTTTGTATTCTTCTATGGTACCTGACAATGCATGTCTTATATTCCTCTATATCGCATGACAGTTTATATTCTTGTATTGTACCTGACACTGCATGTCTTATAATTCCTCTATATCGCATGACAGTTTGTATTCTTTTTTGGTACCTGACAATGCATGTCTTATATTCCTCTATATCGCCTGACAGTTTATGTTCTTGTATTGTACCCGACAGTGCATGTCTTATATTCCTCTATATCGCCTGACAGTTTATCTTCTTGTATTGTACCTGACAGTGCATGTCTTATATTCCTCTATATCGGCTGACTGTTTGTGTGCTTTTATTGTCCTTGACAACGCATGTCTTATATTCCTCTATATCGCCTGACAGTTTATGTTTTTGTATTGCACCTGACAATTGTCTTATATTCCTCTATATCGCTGACAGTTTATCTTCTTGTATTGTACCTGACAGTGCATGTCTTATATTCCTCTATATCGCCTGACAGTGTAAATGCTTTTATGGTACCTGACAATGCAAGTCGTATATTCTTCTATATCGCCTGACAGCGTACACATACCCCCTGACAGTGTAGTTGTTACAGTCCTCTTCATAGTCTGACAGTGTAGCCTGAATGTGTGCATTTCATCATTGTGTAATCACCTATCATATAACCTACGAGGTTTTCAAAACCCATCATAGCCGGGAAAATGTTCTCATTTTGTTTCCTGAAACTGAAGATATCTCTGCACCTGACAGTACAGTCATTGTCTTCCACTATAACTTAAGCTTTTTCCTTCCCACACGCTCTAGACGCGTAACCCCTAAAATCTGTAGATAATCTTACTGACATGCTAAAATCTGATACTGATACAAGCTTAAGATAGAGGGTTTATTTACATGCAAAGATGATGATCGACAAACTATAGAACACTTAAACCATTACCCAGAAGAACTTGATATGTAAGTACCAACCCGTGTTCGTGAGCTAGTAAACAGATCGTGTATTCGGTAGCTGACATAGGAAGCTAATAAAGCCGTGTAGAGATGGCGTGCATGGATTCTCATCGGGGTCTTTCCTTTAACTGTTGGGCATAACCATCTGAGTAACGAGAACACCCGAAGCCTGACCCAACACTGCCGCACCGCCGGGGAAGTATAACATTGATTCAAGACACAGGCTTGCGCTGAAACACGGGCGTGTGATTAGCATTAGATTAAACTAGATGTAAAAGCCATCTTTGTCCTACTGAATACAGCGTGACGATCAATGCTACGTGTCGTGAGGCTGTTGTGACTTACAACTAGTCGGCATTTGGAGAGCTGTATAGAGAAATGGGTCGGAAATATTGTCACCAGCTGAATCGATACTTTCTCCCCTGCTTGTCTTTGATTGATAAGAGATGCTGTTGTTATTCCGTATTCTGGGAGACGACACCTGTGTTTGTGTTGGTTTACGTCTGGTAATCTTATTGACATCGACACATGCGATACTGGTATGGTTACATGCATTATTTGGCCTCGGCAAGGTTAACTGTTCCCACAACATCACAGCTGTACGTAATACTAGATTACCATATCACTTTTCCTGCAATATCACGGCGATTGGCCATGTAAGCTGGTCATTTTACAACTAATGGCCCTGTGTCTTAAGGTTACTGTATGAACTGAAAACATCATCTATCCGCAATAATCGTGAAGTGCCTTGGGACCACACTCTATGGTTATAGATCTCCAGAAATATTATTTTGTCCACGATTGCTTTAAGAACGACAAGGCCATATTTCTTCGTAGAAAGTAAGTATGATGCTAAAACCGAGCTAGTATACAACAGAATATAATAGCTGGAAAGTTATCACAGCTTCGTGGATGTCTTCATATTCCCAGCGTGGATTGTATAAAATATTTATATCATACTTGCTTCTGGATATGGCGTTATAGAACAGACAATCCTATTTAAATAACAGACGTTGTTCCTGGGCTGTGGTTTAACGCTACAACGTTCTATCCAAGGCCCAGTTGGACTTAGAAGCACCCATATGCCCACTAACATTAGGACATCTATAACATTCTCCTCAATGAACATCACACAAAGCCGTGTCAATGCCATTAACAATAAACTCTCCTTATTCCGTCTTAAGTGGCAGGGAATTCTCCTGTCCATGTAAAGTAGCAATATACACCACCTTCATCCCTTTTCAAGCATCCTGGTTAAGACCCTATGTTCGATCGTCCCGGATTTAATCTGAGTTGTATTCTGATCACTTAGAGCAAGCTTCCACCGAGGACGCTTCCCACCATATCAACACATGGTTCGCCTGGGAAACCCTTAAGTTGATAGCGCTTAAATTGGAAACCTTCATTCGCTTCTCCATGGTTGCCGTGGAAACGGAATGACGAAGGGAATCTTTGATATATATCGTCCGTTTTGTTGGTAGGGGGGAATTCTCTCTGCGAGTAAGCCCAGACAGCCGGGAACTGCCAGGCCATGTTTCAAAATAAGGTATAGAGTTCAAACATCGTGAAAAAAGACTGTAGCTTTTTAGCAGAGCTGCTGTTGATTTGAAAAGCAGGCCAGTGTTTTTGAGTAAGGATTACCAGTGGGTTACACGGGACTATCTTCAATGCAGCAGGAACAGGATCGAGACGTGAGTAGGCTTCCAGTTTTACTGCACAGTTAATTCTCTTCTGTAATTTCGAAACTTAACAAAAGAATTCGTAACCATGGCAGCTGCCCAGTAAAGTGGATTTTATCTGGATGATGTAGGTTTGAAGTGTGTGTATACGTTTACAGTCTTGAGTACCGAGGGACTTTTTGTCTGTCTAATACACTAATATTTGTGTATCGAATGTTGCGTATATCCACACAGGCATGTGGTTCAATGAGTGGGGGACGATGTGGGCGTGGCTGTATGGATGGACAGCGTGTAGAACTCACGAACCTCCGCATGCATCTTATTCGTCATTTATCAGTAGATAGAACCGTATACAATATGTATCTGTTTAATATAAAGTGTATTGAACTAGGATATCCTCAATAAACCTAAATCCGTCACACGTTTTCTGTATAGTCGAATTGCGCTGACCGGAAGTATTGTCCGGCGATGAACGTTAAACTAGCGTCACGCTTCACTTGTTTAACGGCAAACCAATAATTTTTTCCACTGCTGTAGTGAGTTCCATGAATTCCACCACCTTCTTGCCCCTCCAGGCCAGCTCGGCATATTTGCACTTGACATACACTTGAGTTAATCATGAAATATTCCAGGTATCATGCAGGGGCTGAACTATCAGGCATTGGTTCAATATGGGTAAATGTAGACGCGCCTTACACACTCCTCCACCCCGTCCACCCCGTGCATTCATTCAGGGAGCTGGGCGTTCCACCTGGGTTAACTAACTGTTTCTCCTGCTGCTGAGAGCTCGACTATTAATACCTAATAATATTTTAATTGACTTCACTTTTCTGGTTATTGAAGCTTCCAGCGGTGTGTTTACCAGTAACAATCACCCGTGATTAATTACCGTTCCCTGTAGGCATAATACCACCTTGGCTGTTGAAAACTTGCAACCTTCTTTAAGTTTTACATTCTGTTTCAGACAGGGTTTTATTTGGGAGCAAAGTTCAAAGTTCCCTGTAGGTATAATACCACCTTGGCTATTGAAAACTTGCAACCTTCTATAAGTTTTACATTCTGTTTCAGACAGGGTTTTATTTGGGAGCAAAGTTCAAAGTTCCCTGTAGGTATAATACCACCTTGGCTATTGAAAACTTGCAACCTTCTATAAGTTTTACATTCTGTTTCAGACAGGGTTTTATTTGGGAGCAAAGTTCAAAGTTCCCTGTAGGTATAATACCACCTTGGCTATTGAAAACTTGCAACCTTCTATAAGTTTTACATTCTGTTTCAGACAGGGTTTTATTTGGGAGCAAAGTTCAAAGTTCCCTGTAGGTATAATACCACCTTGGCTATTGAAAACTTGCAACCTTCTATAAGTTTTACATTCTGTTTCAGACAGGGTTTTATTTGGGAGCAAAGTTCAAAGTTCCCTGTAGGTATAATACCACCTTGGCTATTGAAAACTTGCAACCTTCTATAAGTTTTACATTCTGTTTCAGACAGGGTTTTATTTGGGAGCAAAGTTCAAAGTTCCTGT